TCTACTTTACAGTATTGCATCTCTGTTGTAACTAAAACAGTTGGCTTGAGGATTTGGCATAATGACTGGAGAAATGTGAAAAATTGGTAGGCTAGTCGAGAGGCCTATCTAGGCAACTTAGCCTATTCCTACTTTAGTGAGAACTTTGGATTTTCCCAAAAGTGTTAGAATAATATCCACAGCAAACTGAAAATTCAATTACAATGAAGCCCACTTCAATGTTCATTACTGATTATTTAAATGGATTTGGACTTGAAGACATTTACCTCATGAGGAGGACTGTGCCAACAGGGAATGGAGCTATAAATGTTATATTATAGCTCCATGGTTTCCAAGGATCAGAATATGCAGCAACTAAGGAAAATTTTTCGTTGTCACAACTGCTGCCTATATTTAAACAACAGTATAGGTTCATGTCCTTAAGTTATATAGTATGCTTAGACTGAAAGAAATATTTAATACGTCTAAGGTGTCAACACAATGTACTATGACTATTCTTTATTTTTCTTATTATTGCCAGGTGCATTCATGGAGTGGGTCCATCGAAATCGGCATAACATCATGTGACATTTCAAACATGGTTTTACCAAGTAGTGCTGCTGAGTTACATGAGGGTTGCTGGATTCTTCATGGTTGTAGCATGCTACGTAATGGAGCATCGATACGTGATGACTATGGCTGCGATCTGGAGCTCTGCGATGAAGGGGATGTAATTGGTGTACAGCGGCGTGGCAATGGGGAGTTGCATATATATTTGAATCAAGAAGACCAGGGTGTCGCAGCAACCGGAATTCCACCTTATATCCATGCTGTTGTTGATTTGTACGGCAAGTGTGCACAAATTAGCACTGTAGATAGAAATGGTATGTGAATTTCAGATGCCATCATTTTACTGACAAAGCCCCCCCCCCCCCAAATCTATCCCATTTATATATTTATCTGACAGGTCTTGTCTCTAATCTAACCAATTAATCATTTTATTGTTTAGGTACAATACCATAGAATAGTTAGTGGTAAATATAATGCAGTTTAAAGAGTTCTACATCGGTGGACACAATGTAGATAAAAGTTGAAATTTTATTGAGAACTTTTATTTACATTTGAGAAATCAAGGTGTTAAGCCAGAATAATTGGATCATCCAGGCGGCCAATCCAGAATTTGTTCCTCCAATACGACAAAAGTCAATGTTTGACCACACTAAAGTAAAAGCTAAATCAGTAATAGTCTCTCACATACAGTACAAAATTTCAAATTATGATTGATATGACATTTTTGATTTAATTTTTTTTTTTGTAGTTACACCAACCAGTGAAATTAATCCAGTGACAATTCCATTACCTATCCTAGACAATAGTGTGGACAATAGCTCCATCTTAGCAAACACATTGTCACAAAGTTCCACTACTGACAACAGCTCCCTCATTGGGTTAAACAGCACCGTTAGTTTGAATAACAATAGTGCTGTTGGCCTTGACCACGACCTATGCTTCCATTTAAAACATGGCACATTAATACAGTTGAGTAATGGAAAACGAACAGCTGAAAGGATGCATGCTATGGATGAATTCAATAATGGAATTGTTATGACCAATCGACCACTCCGCAATGAGGAATATTTTGAAGTAAGTGTAACATTCGTTTATTGTAGCGCTTTTGGTGGACACAATGTAGATAAAAGTTGAAAGTTTAATGAGAACCTTTGTTTACATTTGAGAAATCAAGGTGTTAAGCCAGAATAATTGAATCATCCAGGCAGCCAATCCAGAATTTGTTCCTCCAATACAACAAAAGTCAATGTTTGATCACACTAAAGTAAAAGCTAAATCAGTAATAGTCTCTCACATACAGTACAAAATTTCAAATTATGATTGATATGACATTTTGATTTAATTTTTTTTTTTTGTAGTTACACCAACCAGTGAAATTAATCCAGTGACAATTCCATTACCTATCCTAGATAATAGTGTAGACAATAGCTCCATCTTAGCAAACACATTGTCACAAAGTTCCACTACTGACAACAGCTCCCTCATCGGGTTAAACAGCACCGTTAGTTTGAATAACAATAGTGCTGTTGGCCTTGACCACGACCTATGCTTCCATTTAAAACATGGCACATTAATACAGTTGAGTAATGGAAAACGAACAGCTGAAAGGATGCATGCTATGGATGAATTCAATAATGGAATTGTTATGACCAATCGACCACTCCGCAATGAGGAATATTTTGAAGTAAGTGTAACATTCGTTTATTGTAGCGCTTTTTGAGGAAATTTTATCAATTTTTTTAAGCTCACTACTGTCAAATTAATCCTATTGTTTTCATTTCTGTGGTTCTCCTACAAACGTATTTACATGTACTTTACAGTGATTAATATAGTTTAAGCTCCAATCAAAGATGAATGTTGTTGCAAGATGGTTATATTTTTATTTCTTTTATCTTACAAACTGATTATTCGTAAATTTAATAAGTACAGTAGTACTGTTTGGTATAGTTCAGGGTTCTCAACTGGCAGCCCGTGGGCCATCTCTGGCCCACAAGTGCATGTTATGCGGTCCTCGAGAACAAGGCGAAAGTAATATTTTCCGTTTAATTTCTAACCCTATCTTGCATTCTGTTTTGCTGACTAGGCCTATATATAACAGCAAAGAAAAGAAATCATAACACGCCAATTTTCGGCCAAGGGTAACTTCCTTTAGTTCACTCTAGCGACTTATTATTTTTTTTTTTTACTTCTAATTTCCTCTTCCACCGGCCAGCACCTCCAGTGTTCCGCTTACCATGGCCCTTCAAATTTATTCAATGCCCCTATTGCAATATAGTTGAGAACACCTGATATAATTACTCAATGAGGTCATTAATTGTATCTACTATGTAAATGAGGTTAAGCATGGCAACAATAACCAACCATTGATGAGCACTTTTCCAAAGTATTGCAATGATAACCAATCAATGATGAGCACTTTTTCAAAGTATTGCAATAATAACCAACCAACGATGAGCACCTTTCCAAAGTGTTGCAATTATAACCGGATGCCAGTCAATTCAAGCGGATGCCAGTTCGAGCACTTATATTTTACAACTATAGAATTTCACACATAGAATTCACGGTTTTTGTCTCCAGTTAGTTGAATTATATAGTGTTGTAACAGTATTTGTAGGTTTACGATTTAGGTCTATATTTGTAAATGAGAGTAACTGTAATTGTAATTGTTATTCATCATAGAAATTTAAATTATTTTTACGTATATGGTATCAGAAGGTGCACAAATCATCGGTGCAGTAGTGTGACACAGGGGCGGATCCAGTGTAGGGATCCAGTCCAGTCTTGCTACTAAATTTTTAAAATGTCAATGCATATTAATGTTACGTGCTACTTACTTATCTATAACTGTTGTGCCCCCACCCCGCCATTTAAAGAATTCTGGATCTTCCAGCCCCTGTGGTGACAAGACTATCAACAGCACAGTAATAGACATCATACCAATTTTCTCCACTATTTACCATTCGTCTATAGTTCAAAACCCATTTTTTTTAAGACTTAGCATGTGGAAAGAACCCCACGCACCTCTAGATGCGCCGGTGCCTGGCTCGCAGACAAAAAGCCTGAACCTCAGCTGAATGCAAATTGTTAGCTCAAAATTGGAAATTTAAAAGGAATTCGTACATAACTCGCACAGGATGTTGTTCGCACAAGTGAATCTTTTTTCTGCTCAAACTAGCATCTGTTCGAATAAATTCTGCTCGAACTGGCATTCGCTCGAAGTGGCATCTGTTCGAATTGACTGGTTCCCTTATAACCAACCAATTATGAGCACTTTTTCCAAGTATTTCAATAATAACCAACCAATGATGAGCACTTTTCCAAGTATTTCAACAATGACCAACCAATGATGAGCACTTTTCCAAAGTATTTCAAAAATAATCGACCAATGATGTGTAATTTTCCACTGAAATGTTTCATTAAACAAGGAATTTTAAGTAAAATCTTAGATGGGCACCAAACTTTGCTTAATTATTTTTATTTTGTCATTCTGATACAGATTCGTCTTGACAAGTTAATAGATAAATGGTCAGGGTCTATTGAAATTGGAATAACAACCCACAATCCTGACAACATTGATTTTCCTGCTACAATGACTAACCTAAGATCTGGTGAGTTATTTATTTTACATGTAATCATGGTGCTTCAATTCTCTGGTTATTGAATTGTTAGGTAATTGTGCGCAATTTTCAGTCACATAATCACGCTGTATTACCAAGTGTGCCCAGACACTCTGTAATAAATTCTCTAAAATATTGATAAATTGAATTAAAATAACTAAGGCCATATTAATTTTTTTGCGGCCTACGTAAATGAATTAAAAACCCTGTGGGCAGCCAGCAAACCATCTCTGTCAAGAAAAAACGTTTTATTTTTACGGCCAAGCGCCATTCATCTGTAAAAAGTAATATTAAAACTGAGCATATAGCAGTGTAAAAGCAGTGCAGGAAGGTTTTGTGTCTATTGCCCCCTGGGGGGTATAGACACTATGTTATCGTCTGGCAGTTAACCCTGTTAGAGCAAGTAAATTCGGTGGAAGTGCATGATGGGTACTACTACCTCGAGGTACAGTAGAGGCTCCTTATTAGAAATCAAATTGTTTTTGAAACTTGAACATACACCATAGAGATGCTGCATGCCAGTGCTTTAGGCAGCGAGCCGTGTAGCCGTTATTCGCACGGCTGGTTTCAAATAAACACGGCCACTTTTTCAGTTCTAAAAACACGGCTTAGCGATATATGCTATTATATTTGCCAAAATGAAATTTCAAAAACACGGCCAATTATTTGCAGCCCAGTATGGAAAAAACCGTGCTATTAACTCGAAAGGAAAGAGAGGAAATCTCCAAACGTAGCCTTGATTGTAGGCTTATGTGTTTTTACGCAAACCATGCGGTTGATCAGCCAGACACAGATCGTTCAATGACCTGTTTGCTCGGTCGTTGTAAACATCAGGTCACGCCTCCTAAACTCTGCCCGCTAATTGGTTAATTTTTTTTGTGGGGTCATGGATGGGCAAACTTGTGCTTGGCTGTGATGTCAGATCACCCAAAGTTTCGTAGTGCGTGACAGCTTGCGGAAAGGAACAAGCACAGTGTAAACCGATCACTTCTTAAACAGATTTATTAAATCAAATAAGAAACCCTCATGGTTTTTTTTTAGAGTCAAATCTTAATAAACTAACAAATTTAAATTTCATTCTCTACAAATTTGCTCTGTAATTAGCAACATATTAATATATGTTTTTGTAGAATGAGTGAAGATATACATTTATAATTTATACAGATGAATCTAACAACATCCAAATCTGAATTAAACGTCTACTGAAAAATTGTCTGCCATAGAAACTTGCTTCATTTCAGGTTGATTCCAATCAATTTTTAAGGATTAAGGCTAAGGCCATATGCACTTTATTAAAACAATGGAAGGGGTAACTTTCACTTTATCTAACATTAACGTTTACTGGCGTATTGTTTTAATCAGTAGATAATCTCTATGGCAACGCTATTGTGACTGAGCTAGCTGTACGAACGATTCATTATGAATTGATTTATTTAGTACTCAAAATTCACTTGATATTTGATTTAGAAAAATAAATTCTAATTCTAATTTTTTTTATTTTTTTTTTTATTTGTTTTATTTACTTTTATGAAAAGCCTATAAAACGTTAAATATCTGAGTGTGTACAAAATATTGAAACTAAATAGATTGATTTATTTGAAATTTTGTTTTTGTAGGTACAACAATGATGAGTGGTTGTGGAATTCTGACGAATGGTAAAGGAACTCGCAGAGAGTATGGACAGTTCAACTTAGATGAATTACAAGTAAGTTATTTTTATCATTATTTTTTAACAGCCCAGTAGAAACTATAAACTGTAAAACTTTATTGCAATCAACCGATGGAAGTTTAACAAAAAGGATTAAAATTGGAATCCTTAATCAGATTTTTAAGAAGAAAAAAGGAGCAATCCTCAATATCACATCAATAGGCAACGAGGAGTTCGATTGTGCAGGGGAGATTACTAATCATGTTCAAGCCCATGATTAATAATAAATGTTTTTGAACGGTTAGTTTTAACTTTTCTAAGGTTATATGGGACAGAAGTAGTTTCCAGTAATAAATAATTCAATCTATGGCTGGGATTTTTTATTATAACAAAGAATTCCCTGCACAATCGAACATGACGTTCTTCTAAGTTAGAGAGCCCAAGCACACCTCAGACACACTAATAACTTTCTCCTGGAATGATACATTTCAAAGCTCTTCTCTGGATTTGTTCCAGTTGATGGCTCTGTTGCTTAGTAATATTGGTTCTCCAAACTGGGGCTGCATATTTCAATATTGGTCTAATAATACTTATATAGAATTGAACAAATGCCAGAGCATCTAAACCCGCTCTCCAGACCTGTTTGAGGAAGTGCATTTTAGTATTACATTTATAAATCATCTGATCAATGTGGGTTTGTCACGATAGGCAATTAGAGATAATTACTCCAAGATATATAACACATTCCAAGTTATATTCTCCAACAAGTATAGGCTCAAACACTGTTTTTGACCATTTACAGCTAATAGTCATCTCTTTCGTTTTCTTAAAATTAAGGGACATGTTATTCTTGTTAGCCCACTCAAGAGTTTTATTAAGAGTGGTTTAGAGCCCTGTTACCCCATCCTGGTTGGGGCCTATACTGTTCATCATATTTGTTGACGATCTCCTGAATGGGATGTCGTGCATGAAATACATGGACAACACCTCAGTTTATGAGCGTGTCGGCAAGGAAAAGTAGAACAGAAAGGAGAAAGTAGAATAGAAAGGAGAATAATGCCGTCTCTTTTTGAATATCTACCAGGGTTGTACAGTAGCTGTAAAAAAACTAAGGCTGGGTGATAGACATTTTAAGCTTCGGTGGGTCATTAACATCAGTAAACTCTAAATAAGTAGGTTAATAAGGGTGGGCGGCAGGCCATGAAACTAGCTTTAGACTGGGTGGAAATTTCAAGGCTGGGTGGCCCCACCCACCATAACTACATCCCTGACCTACAACATTAATTCCAGTAAAAAAACATTATTTTGTCACCATTGAAAATAACCTTGATCCATCATGTACTGTATTGCCAGTTTGTGCAAAGAGGCAAAGAGAAAGAGAGTCTCAAACAGCAATAGTGTGATTTTAGTTAGTCATTTTGAATCTGCTGACAAGCCAAACCAGTCACTTGTTGCAAACATCAATTTTTAGTTATTAATACAGGGTTAAACAGTAAAGATTTAAAATGATAAAAGAATAATTTAAATCTGACATTTCGTTATGAAGTTGTTTAAAGAACAATATTTGAGAAATCAGCATTTCAAATTTTATGATTTTGGGCATTTCTTAGTCAGAAACTATCACAAAATCTTTAAAAGTGTTTTTTTAACATTGGAAATGGTGAAAATAACCGCATAGTATGATGTATAGATATATAATCTTTATCTTTTTTGATATCCTTTAGGAAGGAGACATCATAGGGGTTATGAAGAAGTCAAACGGAGACCTCCATTTTTACATCAACAACATCGACCAAGGACTTGCGGCCTCATGTATGCCAGAGGATGTGTATGGTGTCGTTGATCTTTACGGCATGGCCGTCAGAGTGTCTATAATATCGCGAGATGCAAATGTGCTTGGCGAACGCATGGACTACCTTGATCGGAGACTAGCTCATTTGAATTTACTACGGGCTCTGGCTATTAGGCAATTTCCAAATATGTATAATGGTAAATAATCAGTTGTTAAGAGGATAAGAATAATTATATCATTTTCTATTTAGTAAAGAAGGATAAAATGTTGCTAAATTAAAGTCTGGATACAAAAGTATAAACTTACAAATGCTGTAAATAATAATCATGGTGCTGGTTGTGGCTGTAACTGTGTGGACAGTGATTGGATAATGATGATGATGGTAATCATGTAATAGAAGGTGGTATAACTATGTAATAGTGTAGTCTGGTTGCACCTGATGCTGCCAGCATAGACTGTTGGTGAAAGCATGTGTTATTAAATACTATAGTTATTCAATCAAGTGTTACAGTGCTTCATTTTACATGATAATCATGGTAACAGTAATCATAAGTCTGATTATGTGTGATTTGGTATTTATTATGTTTGTGTTTATAGTAATGGTTTATACCATATAATTCTTTAGAAATAACAGATGAATTGTGTAATGTACCATTACCAGACTACACCAATGAGCCTGCTGAGAACCATTCAGTGGAAATCATGGCAGAGTTGGGGACGTTGTCCTCAGTGCCAGCGCCACCTAATGAACCTCTGAGATTCTACCCCCGATGTGGTGCTCATGCTAAGGTAGCAAATGGAGGAAAGACAGCACTTAGACCAGAGTGAGTAGTTCTTGTCTTTTGGTCATCATGACAACTGTCTATATATGTATCCTTCCTTCCTCGCTGTTTCTGAACAATCATTTTTTTGTTTTTGTTTCAGTGCTCTTGGAGATTTCAACAATGGTGTTGTCCTTAGCAACCGCCATATAAAGAGCAATGAACTGTTTGAAATTCGAATTGATAAGGTTGTTGACAAGTGGGCTGGATCAATTGAAATAGGAGTCACAACCCACTCTCCCTTCGAACTAGGTAACGTTATTAATAAATCTACTTTTCCTTTTTGCTTCCAACTTCCTTTTTCAGTTGTATGATGTAAGTGTTGATGGTAGGATTGTCTATACACTATCTACACAACACTGTACGATATTTAGCCTCAGTAAATTCTGAAATTTTAAATGAAGTATTTTAACCATTTCTCCACATAAATTCCTAGATTTTCCTACAACGATGACAAATGTACGGAGCGGCACCTGGATGATGACTGGTACAGGTGTCATGCACAATGGAACCACAATCATGGACAACTATGGATACAATTTAGATAGACTAAAGGTATCTTCCTCAGTCGTATTCCATTTTGTTAGATTTGATCTTTTTAGCCCTGCTTAGGTATGTAATACATAGTATCCTACCCTATCTAATTAATTCATGAGAGACCTCTTTGTGTCATCGTCAGTATTTCTGCTTTTTGCTACACTTTATGGTCTTGATACTGCATCTAGCTGGCTAAAAACAGAGTCAAATATAGGGCCAATCTTCTAAATAATACCATTTTATGGACTTTTAAATGTTCATCAAAATGTTATTTCCCCGCATTAATTGAATTCATTCATACTCAGAGTTAGTAGCTTCATTTCAGTAGTAGCAAGTGTTACAGACAATCCGCATAAGACGAACATGGTCAATTTAAAAATCTAACATGTTTATGTGTTGCACTTATAAGACATCTCACTTTTTTCCAATCGAGTTACTTTTTTAATCAGAAACCGGAAGTTCAATTTTACTTTCCTTTTGGGGAGTATACTTAGTCCTGTTGCAATACATAATACACTCAACCAATAGTATTAAGTGCAACCATATCCTACCAGGTAACCATTTATGGACGGAGAGTGAAAATCAGGGAAAGTGCTTGTCAAATTTTTTGTAGCATGCTCCCAACCACAACAATATTAGCCCAAATCACAACCGCTTTGACAACAGTTTTCAAAATTCCACTAATTTTTTGAGGCTGAAAATATTCTCACCCCTAGAATTTAACCTACTGCTCTCATTTTTGACGTGTTTTTCTAAACTCACCCACAGGAAGGCGATCGGATTGGTGTGATGCGAAAAGAAAATGGTAACCTAAATTTCTATATCAATGGGGAGGACCAGGGTATGGCAGTTCCAAATGTTCCTTCGAAGGTCTTTGCAGTGGTTGACTTGTATGGGCAAGCCGCCCAAGCAACCATACTTGACCAATCAGGTAAATACACAAATAGTTAATAATACAGATAATAGTAGGTATATTACACTCTGAATAATGTAATGTGCAATAATGTGAAGGTAATTGTGGCAGTGATTTCTATTCAAGCTCTAAACCTGTCTACAGTTGGACGCTGATTATTTAAACATTTTGTTATAGTTTTTACTATGTTGTCAATTATTTTTTTAATTAATAAAAATGAATACAATTAATTCAGTCACACAAATTTAAGTATTTTTATATAGGCACACATATACATAAGTACAAATTAAAGATAAATATTTCAAAGAATTATTAGTTTTCAAAAATGTTTACTTCTAGACAATGATGCACCAAGCGCTGAAATAGACAATGCTGTTTTCAACAAAGTGCACTCACAAATTGATATGAACTCAGACCTTCAATTCCACCGTCTTCATGGCCGAAATGTCACAGTCATGAACCAGGGCCAGTCAGCAGTACGTCCAAATGCTCGTGGGGAATTTAACGATGCTGTTATCATGAGTAACCGTCCATTAAAGGATGATGAGCTCTTTGAGATCAAAATTGAAGATATGGTTGACAGGTGGTCAGGATCAATAGAAGCAGGTTCGTAACTCAATCTTGCAGGAATTTCTTGGGTGATTTAGCGCAATAGATTAAACATTATTATAAAATATGTAAATAATATTAAATACATACATAATGTTTGTTTATTTGTGTTAATTTGTATTTTTAGGTGTAACTGTAATTCGTCCAGAGGAAATGTCATTTCCTGGAACCATGACTGACCTCGATCATGACACTTGGATGCTAAGGTCAGTAACCTTTTAAAATGTTTAGTATTGTATTGCATATTTTTTTTATAGAATATTTATTTTAATATATTTTATTCATTCAACATTCAAAAATTATGGCACAACAGTTTCAGAATAGAAAGTGAGGAGCACATAACATTAATATGCATTGAAATTTTTAAAATTTAGTTACCCCTACTGGATCCACCCCTGTGTCACACTACTACACCAATGATTTTTGCACCTTCTGACACCTGGATACGTTAAAATAAAATTAATATTAACAATTACAATTACAGTTAATCCCATTTACAAACATAGGCCTAAATTGTAAATCTACAAATACAATTACAGCACTATATAATTCAATTACAAATATTATTTGCTTTTTTAAATACAAATCCCCAAATGGAGTCAAAAACTGTGAATTCACCCAAAACGTGTGCAATTCTATAGTTTTATAATATAAGTGGTTGCTAGCGGCCATCTGGTAGTCGGATTTGCCAACACTGTAATTCAAACATGGAATAATTATCAAAAAGTACCAAAATCATTTCAGAACTTTAGTTCACAGAGCATTTTTTGCAATTAAAACAAACAAATACAAGAATATGGTGATAATAAATTCGCCCTTGTTATAGTTCGCACTAAATGCATCCTCTAGTACTGGCATCCGCTAGAACTGACATCCGCTCGAACTGGCATCGCTAGCGACTAGCTTTCATATATCACATGTAATATTTATTGTTTTTTTATGGTGCGTATATAATAATTAATATATTTTTCAGCGGTTCGTCTGTTTTAACCAATGGTAATACCATAAAAAATGGTTACTCCATGGACTTGGATGTCCTTGAGGTTAATCATAAGGTTGGCATAATGAGGAAAGCGGATGGAACTCTCCACTTCTTCCACAATGGAGTAGATCAGGGTGTGGCCTGCTCCAGCGTCAGTCCAAGTAAGTTTGTTATAAAGAACCTATTTTTTTTATTCATTTTAACTTCTAGGAACTCCTTTTAATATAAACAAAACTAAACAACATTATGCATAGTAGTTTGTTTTTATGACTGAAGTCAGGGTTGGAATAAAAGTGCAACCAAACGACCGACAGACATTTTTTTTTTGAACGCAGATCACATTAGATTTTTCCCCATGGTAAATTGACACCGCTGTTTGAGTTGGTTTTAACATCTTGTGCGGAGGCATTTTGTCAAATCATTTAAGCCTGGTTCTCATGAGAGCCCTAGTATCTGGATCGGGATTTAGCCGTTAGGACCTGCGTGAGAACGCCCGATCGGTTAGCGCTAACCATTAGCAGTATCTGGATACCCCTAACGGTTAGCAAGCGCTATCGGTTAGCAAGTTGAGCATGTTTTTATTACATATTTATCATACCAATCACATGTACGCGTTTACAATTTTCAGTTTCTTAAATTGGCCAGTGATTCGATCATCATATTTTTGGTATCCGGATCGGGATTTTCTCTTATGGACGCACAGCAGCTAACGGTTAGCAGGATCTGGATCCTGCTAACCGTGTGCAAACATAGCCTTATTCCAGCCGTGACTTGAATTTCACTGATTTTTTTCCCCTTGTAGATGTATATGCTATTATTGACTTGTATGGCCAGTGTTCTCGGGTTTCTCTGGCCCATTCTGTCACTGAAAGTGAAACTGCGAACAATGGAGCTTCAGTGCAGATTTTCCGTAGGTTTTCAGCTAAAGACGATAATATTGGTAATTATTTTTTAACACTATTTTTGCTAAAATGTACATCTTCATTGTTATAATTAATATCATCATTATCATCACTAATATTGTAATTATCATCATCATCACCATCAATTAATAGTAAAACTAACATTACAATTTTTTCAATATCGTTATATGATTATTACTGTCATGGTAATCATTATAATTAGTAAATGTATTATCATTCATTAGTAGCGTAAGTGTAATGAAAATAATAATAAATATTATAAATATATCTCTGTGTGTAATTGTTTTGCATAATATTTGAAAGTTATATATTTATAAATACATGTTTTGTGTAATTTGCATGAATATTTTTGATTTAGGAATGAAACATTATTTCCATGAATGCTGTGGTAAGAATATCATCTTGAAGAATTTAGGAAGTACAGCTTGTCGTCAGAAAGGTTGTTATGATGCAATATTGTTCAGTTCTAAGCCACTGAAAGTTGGTGAAACATTTGAGGTATGCTCTTTAGCCATACATTATGATTATTTTAATTTATTTTAACTACTTGTCTCATTCGAGACACGTAAGGAGATACCCCGACCTCGGTGCACTGGTACAGATGGCCCCTGTTGATCAGCAAGACATGAAGGGACCCATAGAGGAGAAGAAAGTCATTGATTGAGTTCCTAATTCACATATTCAAGCTCTTTTTATCCATTGGCAAAAAGCGTTATATAAATTTCTATATTTAGATTTTTTAAGATTTAGTATGTTACAGTTTGTTGTTTAATTAATTTATTATATATGCTACATGCACTTTTTTGAAGTAATGCATTAAAAAAAAAAAAAAAAAAAACATTAAAAAGCCAATAAACCTCAAAAATTCATATAAAAATTTAAAAAGCTCATGTAAACAGATCAGATATAAGTTATTAACATCCAATTAAAACAGATAAAAATATAATTGATTGCAATCTGGTGAACAAAAAATATCCTTTTGTTGTTCAATTGTTCCTGCTCTACAATGCATGCGAGTCAAAGAGAACATGATTTGATTGTATGCATATTTGGGTGATGAAGACCAGGTTGTTGGGGGTGCAAGCAATACCATCTTAGGCAAGACTTTTTTTTATACCCTGTTTAGTGAACCCGCTACCCACCAATAATAGTGATTTTTAATAAAAATACATTTTTGAGCCAATTAGCGCACCCATCGCCACGATAAACGGAAATTCGAGGGGAAAAAATTTGTTCTTAATTTTTATTTGCCCACCGGGTGGTACTGGGTAACGACAACATGATTTTTTGCTTTGAACAAGGTATCCATTCGTAGACGTCTGTGAAGATAAGCCTATTTAATAGTTACATTAAAGGATCGGGACCATACTTTAAATTGACAAAGGTAGAGAAATGTTAAATGCAGACACTATGTATACATAGAGTTTAACCTTAAAACATAAAAAGGTGTAATTTAAAAATTAGCTTTAATGAGTGTATGTGTAATTAATCTGTTATTGTAAATAAGATTAACGCAAAATTTAGAAGAATAATTATTAAAAAAGGATAAACGTGAGACCTCACCGCAAAATAAGTCACATGGTTAGAATATCAAAAATTGAGTTTATATTATATTTGGGTAGATCACCTTATAAGCTTTAATTTGGTGTTTGAATGGCTTCACTAGATCTGTAGATCCAGAGATGTGAGCATTTAAATATTACTGTATGTGTAAGAGAACCACATTTTGAGAAAATCGGCTTCCAAGATAAACTAACCTTACAAATAATAGGAATAGAATTACAAGAATATGCGCAGAGAACACTGTTTTAGTAAGAAAATTCACTTAAAAAGTATACAATCATTAAATATAAATATCAAGTTATTCAAAAACATTAAAATCAAAATTGTGTAAAATTTTGACTTTGACCTATTTTGGTGATTATCTCAAATTGATTTCACCATTTCGTGGTGAGACCTCACAAATAGGAAGGAAACTCGGAGCTGCTGACATATTACAATTGTCCGTGTTTCTTTAAAATGATAGGCTCTTATTGACAAATTTCTCAAATGTATTCTCCTAGGTTGAAGTAGAAAAGTTAGACAAAAAGTGGTCTGGTTGTCTTGTTATTGGCCTGACATCATTTGTTCCAGAAACACCACCATCTCATGCTCTTCCCAACTATGCGGTTGATATTAAGTCACGGGCCACATGGTTGTTGCAGGGGTCAGATGTCAAGAGAAACGGGGTTGTTGTCAAGGAGAACTACACAGGGTCTGTAGTGAGGCTTGAGGTAAGATAAATAGAGCTTGACTAGCATTCTTCCAAAATATACATGACTTAAAAAAACATACACGAAGTATACATTTTTACAAGCATACTTGAAAGGTCGTTTTTCATTTTTTTTTTCACATTTTTCTTTCACTTCACATAAATATATGAAATTAAGAAAACAGAAAGAAAACTACAATCATAAATCAGGAGTGTGTTGTGTACAGATTTAAATGTGACTTGTGTGATGCAAGTTATGTCGGATACACAAACCGACACCTCTACCAACGTATTGCTGAACATAAAAGATTTCTGTTAGAACAACATGCTAAGGACCATCATATCAGCCCAAGCAGTATTGAGTCATGTTTCAGCATTTTAAAGAAATGTAGGAACAAATTTGACTGTCTCATTCATGAAATGCTATTTATTAGACAATTAAAACCCAGTCTGGATAAACAATGTGACTCTGTCAAAGCAAAGCTTTTTATCTAGCACAGGGATTAATATCCCACTGTTATGAACTTTGACATTGTAGATTTTAGCTTTTTTCTTTTGATTATAGTTGCTGTATATTCTATACTTCATCGTTTGATCTTGAAAATGACACCATGAAGGAGTCAAAACGTCGACCTTTTCTTTTTAGCGTTAATTTTATATTAAATTTTTTGTAATATTCTGTAAAGGAATATTTTTATTATTTTTATTAATAGGAATAGGTGTAATGCCCATCATATCACTAAGTGCTTCCCACATGCTGCATTACCTTTCGGTAGATGTTCTTGAGTAATGTTATGTAGAGTTTCCTGCATAATGTCCCTGCTTGCACATCCTGGAAAGTCTAGCTTAGAAATTTTTGCATGCAGACAATGATTAGTATAAATTGTCTTGCACCCTGCTTTTTTACTATTAACCTTAATAAGTGTGCCTAGATTACATTTTCTTAATACAACATTGTCGTACTATGATGAAAACAAATTTTGCTTTAGATCCTTGAAACAGTACATTTCTCTCAGGGTTTAACTTGAATAAATATTCTTTAAAGTTTCTACGGGACACGTAGAATGACCAGGCACTTCCAGCATTTGTCCTTTTTGTAGCATTAAGTAATTGAATCTTGAATCTCCTTGACTGCATTCATTATGTGGTTTTTTACTTATCAATGTCACAAAATTCAACATACATCATCACTTTCATGAAAATGAAATTGCTTTGTTGCATTAGTTGTAAATGTTCGCGACTCCTATTACAAATGTACAGCATTACATCAGTAAACACCTGTTTGTGCAGTCCAACATTATTGATGTCTAAAGAAGCTTGTATAGTTTTCATATCTTCACCAAAAACTAAGTTTTTGTGTTTAGTTCTGTCAGCTTTGCCTTTACAGTTGCCTTGTATGATCTGCATGATAACAGAAACTGTACAAAGTCGGTAATGTCAACGTTTTTCAGTTTCATAACATACTTATCCAGGAAATATCTAATTATGATCATAGAGTTTTCAAGTAATAATCGCCGTTCCTGGCCTAAGTGCCCGGGTAAAATTTGGCTGTAATTTCATCTAGCTCTGTCGTATCCTTTTGCTATTGCCGCATCAAGCGTCATTCCTTCTACTAACTAAAATGACTAAAACATGCCTCTAGTGTCTTCTTTGTGTCTAACAAATTCAAGAACATTTCCAAGTCACCAGTATTCATTAGATTTAACCTCTTCTCGGGAGACCCCACCATTATCGTAAAGTACTGTGTAATCCAAGCCAGATATAGGCCTAGGTAGGTAGGTCATCTTTCATTTGTAAACTTGTAGGAAACAATTCCAATCGTCTGTCAATCGCAGTGCGCATGGCAGCTTTTCAGTTGTGTGAGCCTGTCACGGTGTAAACATTCGCTTTATTTTTGCACACAATACCCAATCTATTGGATGCACTATCAAATTAGTGCTTTTTTGTGCCTTCATTATTTTATACAGTTTTTAAAGAAGGAACACTGTTGTTACTTCTGTATATAATGGGAAAAGAGTATTCTTGTATCTTGTCTGTAACTGCCATTTTTTTCAACATAGGTGGGCAGTACTATTGGAGTGCAGCGGCAAGCTGACAATAGCATGCATATCATTATCAACGGTGAAGATGCCGGAGCTGCTGCCACCAACATTCCAAAGGTGCATTGTTTGAATTATTTTGCTTCAATTCAATTTTAAAAAAAAAGATACCTGTTAAGCCGGGCACTTACAATGCCTGACTGTCGTCAGCCGGCGCGATTCTGTAAAGAACGCAATGCGATGACGCACGCAGCGGATCGTTTTTAATGATGGTCGGTTCAGACTGAGACCGGCAATCAGCAAACCGCGTTGTGTCGTCTGGCGCTCACAAGGAGTCGAGTAATTCGTCATACGACGGTCGTATGACTGCCATACAAAGCAGAGAGTGCTGTCAATTCTATCCACCTAGGTACAGCTGCATTACTACACAGTGGGGATTAAATTTTAGTAAAACTGACCATTTACTTTATCAAATAATATTAATAATTTTCTTTTGTTTAAAGGAGGATGTTTATGCAATAATAGACTTGTGTGGATCAGTAGATAGCGTCCGGGCTGTTAGCAATGAACCTGATGTTGTTGGAATAATTAGAGCACCATCTATATCATCGTGTAGCGATGTCAGCTCAGATAAAGATGTATGTTTGCAATCTTAATTTTTTATAAATTGTTTTAAGGTTGATTACTCAGGGCCTGCCATTTTTTTTTTGTTGGCTCAAATTTACAAAATTCATCGACCTATTCCAGTTTAAAATAAATATTCTGTGATTGAATGCCATTCAGTCAGTAAACTGATCTAAATCTGTCTAGTTAGAGTTGTTGAGTGTAATAGCAAGTCTGCTAGGGCCATTTTGAGTTTTGAGGTCTCTTACACAATATTACACTTAAATAGCATGCTCTATCCTACTGTAACTTCATGAAAAGTATGTAGTTAGTTTTGTTTTTTTGAAAAATGAATTGAATTAATATATGCTTTAAGAAGTTGTATTTTTACCAGGATGTTGATATTTTTGTAGGATGAATCAGTCACTTCACAGGTGTACTACACAGAGGAATTTCATCAGAATCATGGTAAAAATATAAGTCTTTCATGTGCCAATATGACAGCACGACGAACAGCGAGTTACAACCAAGGAATTGCAATTTCAAGACATATGCTGGCGCGGCAGCAGAAGTTTGAGGTAAAGGACGTATCTGACTCACGGCATGAACAAAAAAAAAATTACACTGAATAAAAGAAAAATCTTTCTCTTGCAATTGTTCAAAAAAGTTTTGATAACATTTTGTGCACTATTAAGATATGAATCATTTCTTTATAACTCATTGAAACTTGTTATCTTCAAGGTGAAATTGGAACGTTTGAGTTCACGTTGGACGTCGTCCATCCAAATTGGTGTCATAGGTCAATCACCGGAGAAATTCATATTCCCTGTTTCAGCAACATCCATCAAGAAGAGTGCCTGGATAATTTCAGGGGACTCCCTCTTCCATAACACAATCAAGGTATTCAGTCAAATTTTGTGAAGAAATTGTTTAATTAATTAAATTTCTCTATCCCTTCAAAAACAACTGAAAGTCAAAGTCACCAGCATTTTATGAGTTATTAAGCAACTTTATAGTAAAATCTATAATGCCAAATTATTAATATTATTTTCATTGTATTGTTTGAAGATTTGCATGGCGAAGTAATAACATATGTTGAAGCTTGTGGTACACCACATAGGTAGTTCTGAAAGAACTGTTGTAGTTGAGAAAGTCTTGACATTTCGATCGTCTTCAGGAGAATATATATTGTCATTGTTGTCATCACCACTGCTGCCACAACCACCGTCGTCAATTAGATATGAAAGCCCCGAAACCACCAAGTTATGGTCACTTAAGTTTGACTCCATATTTGTTTGTGGGATTATCAAAATGCATCTGGTTTTATAACTGATTGGTTAAGAAAGAAATCAGTTTTTCTGTTTTAGTGAATCCCTTTTTTTGAACTGTACCATTTTGTTGCCAGGTGCATGACCAAATCGGTCCTGATTTGAACAAACTGCAAGTGGGTTGCACAGTAGGAGTGTTGGTAGATGAAAAGAGTTGTCTTCACCTGTTAGTAAATGGAATGGACCATGGAGTTGTGGCGGACGACATTCCACATCACTGCCATGCTGTTGTTGACCTCTACGGACAATGTGAACAGGTCTGTTTTTAAGAGTGTGGGAGGCAACAATCTGAGTTTACCCACTCTTAGTGATTAACATATTTCATCATCCAAGATATTATAAAATGTATGAAAAAATTGTACCTTCACCAATGCAAGCACATTTTATTTTCCTTCATAAATGCTATATCAAAAAATAAATTTTGTTTTCATTTTCTAAAGGTATCAATACTTGGAGGGGACCTTGCAATTGGCGGTGTCTCAGAGGAGAGGGAGAAGGCTGATTTTGAAAACGGTAGATTGAATGTTGTTATTGTTATTTGGTATTTATAATATAGTACCTATTCCCTGCCCTGGTCATTGGATCCACATGCTTAAGTGTTGCTGCCATATTGGTGCAGGAACTTGCAACCCCACAAGGTACCCATTTATAATCCTGGGTGGAGAGAAGCAATAGAAATAAACCCTGACCTTGAGGTTGGGAAAACCAAACTGCTCCAGCTGCTTAGTCATAACATCAGTACATATCAGAGTAAAAGTGTAGAGTTGTCCTATCTGAGCTTGTAAATATTTATAAAATGTGGTGTCTGTTTAAGAATACTTATTTATTTAGCTTTTGAAGTGTACTAATATGAAACATAAATTTATTATCCACAGGTTTAAAAGAGAACTGTCGACTGCTGTCAGAGTTGAATTTAACGCCACGCTGCGAGTATCAGGAAATGTGTCGGCGATTTAAAGCAATGCTTGCCTTACCTCGTGTGTTTTATTTTTTCATTTTATCTATATATAAGGTTAAACACCTCATTTAGAATTCTTATATTAAATGTTAAGTAAGATCCCTTAATGAATATGGTATACAGTAGGTTTTACCTTTTCTTTTCCAGGTGGATATTTTGAGGAGAACCCTAAATACAACAAATGCTATTGTGACTCGTGTTACAAGCACCGAGGTGATGATGCGTACAATTCACATGGTGAACCGCCAAAGGAGTATTCCCGACCCTTGGGATGGTGCAAATTTGCTCTTAGGTAAGGGTATTAAGTAGAAAAAACTGACTTGGTTTTTTAATCTGTATCTAATTGAAAGTTAATTTACTTTAATTAACTTACTTAATGAGCTCTTCCGTATTATATTCTTTTTAAGGCAATACTCTTTATTATCTTTTGTTTAGCGAACTCGCCACCCACCTATAATGATGATTTCTAATAAAAATAAAATTTTATTTTTTGCCAATTAGCATCCCGCCACCACGAAAATATGGAAATTTAAAAAAAAAATAAAAATTCTTCTTTATTTTTGCTACACCTGCCGCTGCCCTTCTGAAATCTCCAAAAATGAGATATGTATATTTCTTCCTAATTATATAAATTTAAAGCATTTAACCATCCAATTACTACACTGTTTACTTTCACTAATAAAATGTTATTTGTATTTTCTCCTCCATCTGGTTATTTTTAAAAAACTATTTGCTAAATATTAAAGAAAACATTTTTTTTTCACCCTCCTGTGGCGACCTTTAAAAGCATAAGTTCGCAAAATAATCTAGCCTAAGATTTTCTTATATGTATGATTTGAATATATTTTTTTTGTTGGTGTATATGCAATAAATTTTTTATCTTATAACAAATTATTGATTTGATTTTTTGCTGTAGACTGCCTTCCAGAGTCGACATGCAAAGTCTGTTTGAAAGTTGCCATGTTGCATTCCATACAACCGATATTAACACAGTCAGAAAAATTCTGGATTCAGGGTCTTTAATGTGCAAAGGTAGGATTTTTTTAAGGAAAAAAATGAATATTCCTAAGATATTAATTGCATGCAAATGTATTCAATCAAGTGACACTTTCTCTGAATACACTCTCTAGCCTAGATTACAGGTGATAATTTCTTAGGAACAGTGCCACTAGCATATAAACAGAGCCTTATTTTTATTGGTTTTTCCTCATTGTTTCCTCTTTGGTTGCTGGTAGTGGTAGCGCTGTCAATTGAAAATAGATATTGGACAAGTTTAATAACTGTACAATATTGTGTTTTCTTGCCTTTATGTGTTTTTTTTTCCTTTTACATTCCAAGGTGACTCTATGATTGGTGGAATATTAAGTAAGGAGATGCTGTCAAGTGAAAGGTTAAAGTTTAAAGATACAACAATTGATCAGATACTCCTGTCACCGAGTATGAAGTATTGTATCAGTCATGCCAACACAAGACGAATGGAGTGAGTTATAAATTATTACCTGTATTTAGGTTTAAATGTATTCTCTAAAACTTTTTTCAAGTTTTTAGTGCTTTCAATTTAAACTTATCAGAATTTATTATTCTGTCGTTTTATTAGGTATCATGATGATGTTAGTGGTAAATCACAGTATGCACAAGTTGCATTTCAAGTTCGTGTTCATCCGGATAGCTACGATGTTGGTCCGGAACGAATTGGGGCCAACCAGCAAATTGATGCCCACTTTGACAACAAAGAGATTCAATGGATGTGCAAAGAGAAGTCTGTAGTGGTTCCCTATGCATTGTTAATCAAGATTGATTGAGCAGAATTGGTCCAGATTTATTGATAGAAATTGATGATTGATTAGATAAATTTATTAAAATGTATAATTATTAATTATTCAAAATTCATCAAGATTCGTACTGGTCGTAATTGATGATGATAGATTATTGATCAGTATTGATTGAGTGAACTCAAACAAGGTTTAGCCAAAATTGTCAGGATTTATTGATAAAACCCATCAGGATTGACTATTCAGATAAAATTGAATTTAATTGATAAATCCATTGATCATGATTGATTGCTTAAAATTGATTAAAACAGTTGATTACTTGAATTTGTATTGCTCAATCAATCATTTCCATTGGTCAAGATTAGTTAATGAAGAATGATCAAGATTAAATGATCAAAATTGATTATTAAGATTGATCAAATTTGATTAAGATTGACTGATCAAAATTGATTAAGATTGATTGATCAAAACATTGATCAATATTAATAAATCTAAGTTGATCAAGAATGGTCGATTAAAATTTATCAAGATTATTAAGTTTTGACTTTGCATTGCTTAATCAATTATTTTCATTGATCAAGATCCGATTGAGCAATATTGATTGCGATTGATCATTTGATGGCCAGACTTTCTGTATCACTTTCCCAGAAGATGTGCTCAGAAACTGTCATTGATTAACAATCATAAGCTATTAAACAAACCTTGCTAGAATGAAAAAACAAAAAAAATACACAAAGTTGAATAATTGTCTGTTCTACTAATAACCTTGGATATTCATATAATATCATTGATTGTACGTACTACTGTATACTTTTAATTGGTTTTGAATCAAGAATTATACAAGCAATATCCTAGATATTGTTGTTAATGGCCATGTCACACCTTGACGATTTAGCTAGTGTATGCCAGCATATGAAAAATTTGGCAAATACGCTGGCGTACATCGAATAAGTTATTGGTAAGTTTTGTATGAGTTAAAAGCATGCTGGTAAACGCTGTAGTTCGGTGAGTACGTCAAAATAGTTTGTGCATGCATAAAACTTTTCGACATATGGTAGCGTTTAGGGGAACAGGTATATAAAAATGGGATGATGTTGATACAGTGCTGTGCGGTTATGATTTGAATCGATGAGCGGCAAACTGTTTATTGGCAATACACTGCTGCGCGCTATGCATAAGGTAGACTATCGTTGAGCAACATGCTAAGCATTCATTGGTGTAAGTTATAAAAAAATTCTATATAAGTTACTAATACATTTAGGTATACGTCCAACTCGTTATGAATGCGCCCAAATTTGAAGAAAAAAAAATCGATAATCCAGCGTATGCTAGCGTTTTAGAGAACTTTGATACGTCGGCATATGCCGACTGAATCGTCAAGGTGTGACAGGGCCATAAGACTCTACAAAATGACGCTGTAAACATTCAAAAACATTTGTGTTAGTGGGACATTTGCTGTTTCCTGGCATGTTCTGATTGGTTAGTTTGACCCTTTTGAATGTCAATTTAGCATCAGTTACTTCATAAAGCATTCTTTTACACTTGTCTTTCTTTTGTATTTCTTTTTCTAAGAATATATATATGCAAATTATTTTTTCTTTTGTGTGTGTGTGTGCTGCTGATATAATAAAAGCATACCAAAACTGTGCAATTTTTGAAAAATTCTAAACATATTATCCCAACCTATAAGTATTTATTGTTGTACAGATGCATACATTTAATGCAGTTGAATGTAATGAACCACACCTGAGTTTTCTTTATTTCTAGGATAATTAAAAACGATGTTCACTCTAGGATATTATTTGTTTTTTTCCCATCATGTGTACATGGTTTCCTAAATTCTACAGCTCTGTCCACACTATCAAATTTTCTGTGACGAAAAACTATTGTATGCCCATATATAGTCATGATGTGGCTATATATGGTCATGATGTGATGTCATCGTGACCATATTTAGGCATGTCACATATTTTTGTCAAATAAAATTTGATAGTTTGGACAACGCCTAGTGTATCTTATTATTATGTGGTAACAATACTTAATTCATCTTGGATTTTATCCAGTAAAATGTAATGAATTTCAAAATTATCGTCAAGAAAACTGCTCTTAGAAAAATATATTATGTTTATGAAATTATGCTGTAATTAACAAAATTGGTATTGCAGGTGACAAATATGACCACCTGTTCTCAAGGCATTTATCATGCCTCTTATTTGAATTACTTATGCTTTTATAATAATTTAATAGAGGCACCGTTTCATGCAATAATAATGTTGCCGAATAAGTATTAAAGTATTGCATTAATTGCCTGGTTCCTGGGCCTTCCCGTAGTACAGTCTGTGTGAAAGCTTGATAGGAAGGCCAAGGAAGTGGTAAGTTAAGTTATTGTTTGCATGTATTTTTCTTTTTTTTTTTAGCAAGGGCTGTAGAAAGCCTACAAACTGTATATTTGTGGTACTGAAAAGTACAGTATCCATATCAAAAAGTATAAACAATAAATAAATTATAACATTTAAAGCAAGCGTTTGTTATTTTATGATGTTATTTTTAATCCTATCGCCGAGAGCTTTCAGTGATACTCATCGGTCGGTAGCCTTTCCGGTTGCGTTGGCGACTGCTACGCAGTACAGTTGATTTGAAAACACTGTAGCAACAGTGTAGCGATTTTATGGAAACCAGACTTTAAGACAGTCCTGAAAAAATTACTGTTACATGACTGATCTGATAGAATACTTCCAGAAACGCACGCTACACTTCTGGTATCCTGTTTTTAAAATAACATAACTTGTTGATACTTATCTTTGAAAAATGCATAACCGATTGTTCGGTAGAATCGGGAGCTTTCCTGATTGCATCGGCAACTGCTATGCAGTACAACTAATTTGAAAACACTAGCAGTTGTGAAAAATATATTTGTATTTTATGGATACTTCCAGAAACCATAGAAACTTTATGCAGAAACTCATGCTACACTTCTGGTGTGCTGTTGTTTTTAACATACTGTACTCAAGACCTCAGGTGTGTTCATAAGTCCATTTTTTGTGGTACAGAACCATCCACACAATGCTGCTGTGAATGGAAGCTTTCACCAGCAGTAGATGAATGCTGTGAAAAAATTATTATTTCTGTACTTTTCAGACAAATCTAGTACACAAAAATCATATTACTGTACTAATAAAAACATTTATTTACAGTGCTTACATTTGACATGACATTGTTGACAAAATTTGCTTGGCAATACAGTATTCTGAATAAGCAACAATATTGTTATAAATTCATACTAGTAAGTAATACAATATTAGATTAATGATTAACAATGTATAAGAAAATCAGACACCATATTAGTTTCGAATGTATCAACCTTTGTACAAATCTTCTCTTATTGAAGATTAATTCTGGGGACCTGGGTTTTCCTGGTCTACTTGTTTTGATGTTCATTTAAAAAAAAAAAATATATCAGTAAATTGATGGCATACATAATACATGTTAGCGAAGACTTCTTTATACCTTGTTTAGCGAACCCGCCGCTGCCCACCAATAATGATAATTTTGAATGAAAATAAAATTTACTTTTGGCCAATTAGTGCATCCGCGGCCATAAAAAATGGAAAGGTTTTTCTTTATTTTGGTTACGCCCGCCAGTGCCTTGAAATCTCCACAATAAGATATGCATTTCTTTCTAATTATATAAATAAAAAGTATTTAACCATCCCATTCCATCTGGATGTTTTTGGCAAAACCATAATAACTTTGGAAACAAGGTATCAATAAGTCTCACCTTGCCACTAAATATGAGTGGAATAACGAAGAGACATACAGCTCCCTGGATAAAGCTTATTCATTCGGGCTTTATGAAGGTCAATTCAGACAGCCTAGTGAAGTTTTCATGGTGAATATATTACTACAATATTTGTTCGTAAGGGATCCACTTGGGGAATTTTAGGCCCATGGTTTTTGGCAAAAAAATAAGTACCAATTAATATCCCAGGCCCTTTAAGATCTGGGGCCCTGCCTTTTAGTAGTCAGTGCTCATAGCCATGCCTCTGCATTAAAAATACCAATTTTACATTCCCAACAAACATTCAATCCATTGTACAATAAAAAATAAAATATTAAGTACAGTACAGTACTTCATTGATTTTTGTTGTTGCCTATAGATTCGTGAACATCGACTTGAAATAAAAAGACTAAATACTAAAATAATACTGACACCCAAAAGTAAAAAACCTCAAAAATTAAGAAATTTATAATTGGTCGTTTAGAAAAATTACACTAGTTATTAGTTTGTTAATTAATTATTAATTTGAATTATTTCAATAAGAAACGCAAGTTTTTTATTTTTTATAATTTACAGATAACTGGGAACCTTTTGCCAGATGCTCACTTAAACAGTATTATTAATAAAATGACCTTTAATTTGTGAAAGTTATATTTTTCTCATTCTAATTTTTCCATTGAAAGTTAATAACATACCTAATATATATAGTAAGCAAACCTATTATTGTTTTTCTTAAAGTTTGTTAGGTTTTTGTGACAGTATATATTTACAATAGTTCAACAAAACATATGTATGTAAACATCAACAATAAACATTGAAATGTAAGACATAGGTATACAGTACATAAATATTTTAACAAAAATTTACGGAATTAGCTAAAAATTAATATATATGAAGCGGGAAGCAAAATCAGCACAAGATTATATATAAGAGAGCCAATCAGAAATATTCTTAAAAATTTAATATGCAGACAAAGGATTATCCTATTTGGTCACTCCATATTTTTAAAAAAATATCTTGAGCAACGATTTGCATTTTTCTATCCTCTGTAAATTCATATTTAGGACTGGGGGGGGGAGGGGGTGTTGTTCTCAACTATTTGTTATTTCTTCTTTTTCTCTGGTGTACAACGTGGACAAAACCTGTAAACAAAAACAAAAATAAAAGTCATAATTGAAAATCTTGCTAAATATATATGAAAATATTTTATTTATTTATGTGTACTTTAAATTGCCTTTAAACGGTGCGGTGATGGTGTGGTGTTTCTTTTCTTGTAGCTTTAGGTTCATAGTAATTTTTGGTTCCTTCCTCCTGTAGCGCTTTGAGCACCACTGCAGTGGATTTGTGCACTTTATAAATCTTACCATTATTATTATTATTATTTGTGAAAGTTATATTTTTCTCATTCTAATTAATTTTACTCTTAACATTAATTGATAATAATAATAATAATAATACTACTTTATTTAATAAAGCACAAACAATATCCAATTAAAATGATCAAAGGTGCTGTACAGAAATTTAAAATAGAAATTTACAAAAAATCAGTACTCAATATTTATACATTAGCACATCAAAAACCTACAGCGAAAAAAGATAACATACTAAGATTTAAAATAGATGCAAGTGAACAATATAACACTACCAAATATTTTTGGATTTTTTAAAAGCAAAACACAAGACAAGATCACCAAAATTTACATCAAAAAGTATTGACCACTATTTATAGGATGCAAGTAATGCTTAATTCCTTAATTACAATTATCATTAACTCAGCTACAAAATCCTAACCAAAGCTACATTAGTATCTTTAAAAAAAAAACCAACATTATTGTTCATTCCCAACATTAAAAATACAATTAAACGTGACTAAGTTGACTTTGCCTAATTCGAATAACTTCTAAGTCGATCTTGTTTTACATGCCAAATTGTTGTGTTTTCCATTATTTACCGATCTGTAAGTCGAACAGTTTTTAATACCATTTTGGATTCAACTTGGGCAAGTTTAACTGTATTATTCAAAATAAGGTCATTGAATAGAATATTCACACAAGTGGATTGAGATAAATGTGCTTCCTCACAAGGCTGGTAACATAAGCTGAATCCTCTTTGTGCAACTAAATGGAACACTTACCATTTTCCTTTGGGTTTTGTTGTAAGTCCTACACATGCAAAATGGAACCACTCAATTGGGCACTGAAAAATGAAATGCACAATCATTCATTATTATTCATATACATTTACTAGCATCTGTTGGTATTTTAAATTTTGTTGGTATTTTTAATTTTTAATCATCATCTTATCTACTATATCATTGAGGCTTTAGCATAATGCGCTATATAAGCCAAAATTATTATTATTATTATTATTATATCTAGATCTATTGGTAAGGGAGAGGTTGGGGGGAGGGGAGAGAGCCCAATAAGAAATTGGGGGAGTGTTGGCTAGAGGTAGGAGGTGATAAATGGTTTTTTTTATGTCAGAAAGCTCCCATGGGAAAACTTGGGGTATATGTATCTTATAGGCAGTCTGATTCATCTTTTAAACATCCTTCCTTATCGTCTAAATCTAATATTTCATATAGTCATATGAAAATGATATATACACATCTTACATCAGGATTATCACATCCTATCATTTCTCCATACGATACTTGATGACATAAACAATATGTTGGTTCATTTGGATCTACTGGCATGTCAAGGACATCGGAGGGGGTAGTGATTACAGATGGAAGAGTCAGAATCGGTGTTACTGGTTCAACTCTGTAGAAAAAAACATTTGAAAAAAAATAAATTTCGAAAGTACAACAGAGAGTAAAATAAAATGTAACTGGATACTCAATGAAAATCTAAAAAAAAAAAAGGAGATTTACATATCAAAGATATGTTCTGAAAAAACATAATGGAGTGGGTTGGTTTTGTATACTTACGGAATAGGCCCAGGATTTATCAATCTCAGCTTAGCAAGTCAAAAAAGTTAAAATGTCCCTAATAATATATCTTAGGCATACTTATCAAACCATCTTAGCAAAATCTTAGGTGAAAAATCGTATTAGATAGAAAATGCGTACAATCGACATTTTAATTTTAAGCAATTTTTAAGCTAAGCAATACTGATAAATTTAAGCTGGTTTCTAGATTGATAAATCCGGCAACTGAATAGTACTGTATATTCATTTGCATACAAAACAATTAAACATAAAAAATTAATTAATTCCAAAGAAATTGGATTTGATGTAGCTTACACATGCATCTTTGTTCTCTTTTTTGAAGTTTTTGGAATTTCATCATCTGATATTGACCCTTTCTTCAGTTTTTTCTTCTCCTTTTTTCTTCCCCCTTTCTCTGTAAAAGCAAAACAAGTATAAATTTTTTTTTTCTATTTGTGGAAAGCAGCAATTGTGTTGAAAGTCACCTATGAGTTAGATGCATATTACGATAAATGCCTTTGAAGCCTTGTAATACCCCAACTTTGATAGGCCAGGCCCATAGTTCTGAAACAGCTTAGATTACAAAATAATTATTTTGCATGTGTTCATTATATATACATAGTTGATTGTTTGAAATAAATTTCAGCCAAATGAGAGAGGTGATCCATACCACCACTGCATTTGACACAGAATGACCATCCTTTAGTTAAGTCTTATAGACCATGACACGATAGAAGAGTCTCCCACTACAGCCATTTTTAAAGTATAATATGCACCATGTCTCACAAAACACTATAGAACTTACCATACACTACAGAACTTACTATTCTTGTCTGCAGAGCTATCAATGTGATCGGGAGCTTGTTCCATTTGTCGTTCTTTTAACTCCATCTCAAAGCGCGCAAGGTCTGAATCGAGTCTCCGAATATGCTTATCAACCTTTAAAACGAAAAGTATTTAAAGAAAATAATATAAATATAAGGAAATATAGGTAATGAAATTATTTAGTGTACACCTTCAACATTTGTGACAGAATGACATTGTACCAATTATTAATCAAATTGAGAAGTGGTTTTGTGATGGAGATGCTACATTATTTAATTCATCAAAATTTATTCGCTGCAGTGTTCTATCTTGGCCCAATATCTGCTAAAAAACATTTTTCCTATGCCAATTAACATTTGCTGTTTCATCTCATTTCTAAATTTTCTTAGGTAATGAAAAATGTTATAAAACCACTTTCAAAATCATGCAACCTATCTTCTCTTAGTGGTCATATTGTTCTTTTTTTAAATCGAAACTAAACGCGACGTTCAGATACTAGAAGGTAAGTGAGTGCACCATCAAGTTCTTATAAATATTTTAAAAAGAAAAAGAGAAACAAATGAAATACCATTTCGTAGGTCTGCATCGCTAGCTGAACTTTGTCATCGCCAAATTCACGACTTTTCGAAAATGCATCATCAATTTTCTCCAAGAGGTCATTGCGTTTACTTGGTGACATTGTCTTCACACCTGCTATATACTCCTTTGTCATTCCATCAATTTCCTTTGATAGATCTATATCAAGGAAAATAATGTATAAATCATTGAGAATAAAATTTATGTAATATCTACCTCGAACAATATGAATATATTATCAACACATTTACTGAACCTTCAACATATTTTGAACTTTATGTTATAATGTAAAATTTATAATTAAATGCTAGACAGTACATGAGCCAAAAAATATAGCGTTGTCCAAGCAATGACCATTGAAAACAGGGTCAGTGGGTCAGTCAAAATTTTGTATAATGTGTTTATATCATACTCTACTGTCTAAGCCTGATTCTACAGTTCATCAATGCCACTGATGAAGAGATTCATAAGTACCTTGCATAATTTGTATTTTCTCTCACAAAGGAATTTCTAATTAGCAAAAACCCTCGAATAGTAAATTATATAATGAAATCCTCAAAGAGTGTAAATTGTCTAAAAGCATCACCTACTGAGATATGTTTTCTGTAAATATTAGGAATATATTTACAGTATGACAGCATATAAGGATGAAGGGGAAAAAATTGTAGAAAGATACCATGATTATTTTGTATGCATGTGAAGTTGCTCTATATTCCACCATAAGAAGCTCAGGATGTTAACAATAGATCAAATTAGTCCCCACAACAAAGCTGTTATAATGGGTATAACATCAAAACAAACCGCTGGGTGGCAGTTTTTACATAGAGTAATAAGCCTCTGCTTAGTATATTCAACAGTTTTTAAACTCCTCAAACATATTTATTCTTACATTTCATCGTAAAATAACTTACTGTATCAAAAAGCCTTTGTAAATATTTCTTAAATAAACGTCAGCTTTTTAACCCGTTAGATTTAAAATGGAGTGAAATAAACAGATGTAAAACCTGGACATGTATACATAGCTTCTTCATCATGATAATCATGATAACGTCATCTTTGGTGACTAATTCGGTCTATTTAGATGAGCATAGGAAGTTAATAATTAAAAAGTTGGCAGATCAAACCTGTTGGTTGTGAGGGAACCAATTTATACTGTACCTTGTGATCGTTGGTCTAAATCCCTCATTAAGGTGAAATTTCTCTGCAGTTCAAAAGGTAGATTCTCTATACCTAAAAAATATAAAAATTTACTGTATTAATATGTAATTATTCACCAAATATTACAATCAGTGGCCGTTGCAGCAATTTGCCAACAGGGTTCAAACATGTCTGAAAGGGTGATCCTACACAAAAGCAAAACTCAAAACAAATTCTCTTGAGTGAGGGTCCAGAGGAAGACCGCACTGGCATTGCTGTCGTTCTCTTTCCCCCACCCACACCCACTCTACAAATGAAAAATAGTCCTTGCCTAGTAGTAGGCCTAGATTTGAATCCTGTTTATTTTTAAGGGCAAAAATAAATAAAAAATAGTCTGGCCTCGGCTGCTACTACTAACTAGAAGTAGGACTAGGCCTAGCCTATGCCCTGGGCCAGGAAGGTAGGGCCTAGCTAGGCTAGGAGGATAGGCTTCCCTCGGCCTAGCTAGCTAGCTAGGACCTAGGCCTAGCCTACCCTAGGCCTAGGGCCTGAAAGGTAACAATGGGGAAACCAAATAAAAAAAAAAATACCCGCGAAACTAGAGGCCTAACTAGAGCCAGACCTCAGGCCTAGGCTAGGCCTTCAGCAGTGCTAGAAAATCAGTCGAACGTGAAATCAAATGACCGGAATCAGGTCAACTTGGCCACAAATCAACTCGGCCACAAGTCAACTCGGCCACAAAAAGTTCAGCTGCAGTCAACTCGGCCACAAGTTATTTATAATTAAAATGAAATGTAAATATTACAGTTTATGCATCCTTTTTCTTCAATATGATTAAAATGAAGTACACAGTATATTTTAGTAAAATTCTGATCATCGTCTCATCGTCGTGAGATTGTTGTATACATTTCTTCACACTGTACTCTTATTCAACAGAGAAAACCCGCCACTTACAGAATGGAATAAATTCTGACAATTGTAACAGTAATAATTTACGCAATCTTAATAATTAAGAAAAACACATATATTAATGTTTAATTTTGTTCACTTTAAAACACTGACATAAAACATGAGTACATACTGTAGACCTAATTATAAAAAATTCAAATAGAAAAACCACATTATGATTTTTTTAAATGTAAAAAATTTATTTTGAATCTGACTAAAATCAATGAATGCACGATGGCGTGCATTTCGATACTATTTTCTTCAGAACCACGCCCAAGAATTAGGCCTACGTTAAAATTAGGTGGGGTGCAGCATCTAGTATCAAT